GGCTCCGCAGGCCGCCTGTGTCCCCTCGAGACCGACCCACAATAAAGCACCGGCCTTGCTGCGGCCCCCGCTCCCCGTCCTTTGTCTCTGGGTCCGGGGGGGCTGCGGGCGACACAGGAGGCCTGTCCTCAGGGACCGGGCGCGTCGCCCTTGGAGTGTCCAGCGCCGGGGGGGCGGCGGCCCCTCGGACAGGCGCGCCCTGCCGGGCCGCGTGGCCTTCGCCCGAGAGCGGCTTTCCGGCGTGTCTTGGCTTTCGGCTGAGCGCAGGGTGACTCTGCAGCCACCGCAGGCCTGTCCTGTCACAGATGGCGCTCGTGCACCGGGCGCCAGCAGCCTGACGTTCCACGAGTGTGGCACACAGGGCCGTGGCCGAGGCAGCCCTGCGGGTCCAGGGCCGCTGTGCCCTGTTCTCCAACCTGGTGCCGCCCTGGAAATGCCGTGGTGAAGGGGACGCACACTCCGTCCCTCTCGAGATGCAATGTGTATTTGTGTTGGGCGATGGTTCCTTCGACCTAAGACTTTAGGTCCTAACCAAATAACCAGCCCAGGAGTGAGCATACCTGCCCTGTATCCCTGAAGCTGCTCCAGATGTTACCAGTATAATTATAAAAGGGGAAACACTTTATTTTTTCACAATTAAATAAGAGTTGCAGATGCTACACGGTGGTCGTGCATGGGAACGGGGGGCACGTGCAGCTTTATTTACTGTCAGTGCAGCTGGAGGAAGGCTGTGTGCACTGCTGAGATAATAAACCCTTTGTACCAGGCTCTGCGGTGCTGGTCTTTCTGGAAAGCCGGGTGGTGCGCAGCCAGGGGGCCTGCTGGCCCTGGGCACGCTCGGGGCTGGGGGTGCGCCTGGCAGGGGCCTCTGAGTGTCCCGAGGGGCATGTGCGGGGCCTGGGCCCGTGGAAGGCATTGTGGGACCGGTGTTGCACGTCTCCCTCGGCTGAGGCTTCGGAGATACGTCTGTGCTGTGTCACTGAAGTTCCGAAACATCGACGCCACCGGGTCACAGGCGTTGCAGCTTCCAAGAGAGGCCACGGGTGGCGGGAAGGTGGCCATGCGGAGCCCCAGGTCCTCGGGAAGGGCCGTGGGACCCGGCTGGAGTGCTCCCTGCCCCGAGGTTTGCCTTGAAGCCCCCGTCTGGTCGAGCGTGGCTGGGTGTGCAGGAACCGCTGGCGCAGAGTGAGCTCGGGATCGGTCCGGCAGGCGCAGAGCGCTCCGCCCCCAAGGGACCCCCCGCCCATGCCACTTCCACACACAGGTGACACGCACGCACCGTGTGTCTGTACCCTCACGACACCCCAGCACGGGGTACTGCTGCGGGCAGGGTCCCGTTCCACCCAGCCCATGTCGGAGCTGCATGAGGGGTCCAGGCACATCCCGCGTGACTGGCCTTCCACAAGCTGTAGGCATCCTGCCTTGTTGGAGAGTTTTCTGGTTTCTTAAAATGTTAAGGTTGTTGGTGTCTTTGGTGCACACGTGCTCCCAGGCGTGCACACAAACTTCCATGCATACAAACACACTCACACTCGTATCCATGGCGGAGGGAGGGTCTGGGTCAGCCCGAAGGCTGGTGGGCTGCCCTGGGGACCGCTCAGGGCGGGCCTGGTGCTGTGAGAAAGGACCTGGTGACCCCAGCCTGGACGCGAGTGCTTGCTGGGGGCCTCTGCTCCCTGGGCGGGGAGGGCTACCCATGTCTTCGTCAGGTCAGCTGCTGTGGGGACCCCTAGGCTAGGACTGGGAGGCCTCTGTCCCCCTGGGATCCCAGTGTCCTCACTTGAGAAGTGGTTCAGTGTTTTCTGGGAGGACATGGGCCGAGGGGCATGGCATGGGGGCAGCCAGGCAGGGGCACCGTGCCCTGGCAGCAGTGCCCTGTGCCCTGACCTGATTGGGCAGACCTGGCCCCTGAGCTGGGCCAGGCTCCTCCTCGCGGCTGCAGGTGGAGGCGAGGGCTCTAGGCTCCAGACCCTGCCTGGCGGCCTCAGATTCACGTGGGGAGAGGGACGCCCCCAGGACGGGGGGTGTGGGCACCCACCGAGGCCAGCCGGGAGAGGCCCTGGGGGCAGGGTCTTGGGGGCCCTCTGCTTGGTCCTGCCGCCCCTCCACACACACACACACAGACTCGGTCCTAGGAAGCAGACCTCACTCGGTGCTGCAGGGTCAGCAGGACCTGGTCCCGCCCCGTGGAGCCAGGCAGTTTCTCCTGTGCCATCTCTCCCCAGGTGAAGGCTACAGGGCAGTGCCGTGCCCCCCCCCAGCCTCGGACACACAGCTGGGACCATGCCAGAGCCACACTTTATTCCAGGATGTGATGGGGGTGCAAGATGCCTGGCCCCTTGAGGGCCTGTCCAGGGCTCCCTGGGCCACTGCTCCGCCAGGCAGGGCTGGGGCCTTCCCCCCTGCACGCCCCACATGGCCTGCCCGGGCCTGCCCTGCGTGAGTCCCCCATGGAGAGGCGCCCCAGAGCCCAGCCTCCACCTGGACCGTCGGGCACTTCCTGGAAGGAGCTTGGGTGAGAAATAAATACACGGCTGTCACTACTGGCCTGCCAGCAGCATGCTGGGTGAGCCCCCAAGGCGGGGTGTGGGCCGGGCCACGGAGGCTCAGGCCCCGGTCCTTGTCCTCGGAGGGCTTAAACACCACTGGGTCGGGGCCACTGGTCAGCAAGCACCAAGCCGGGCACACATGGGTGCCCGACGAGCCCCCAGGCCCCTGGACAGCAGCCTGGCAGCCCTCGGCTGGACCCCATCCCTCCTCCCAGCCCTGGGCGGCGCCAGCCCTGGGGCCCGGAGCATGGAGAGGGCTCCAGCCGGTGGGGGCTATGGCCCGTGACTGTCCACTCTGCCTAGAAAATGCTCCATGAGGATAAGGGTGTGTTTTCGCTCCAGTCTGTGGCCGTGACACACAGCAGGTGCTCAATAAATACTTGGGGCAGGATAGAGGACCCCGGGCGGGGCTGAGCTGGGACCGCGTGGGGAGGGAGGGGTCGGCATGCGGGCAGGGCCCAGAGTGCCCATGAGACCAGGCCTGCCCTGCCACCACCCACACTGCTCACCGCGCAGGCCACGGCGGACCCTGGGGCTGAGGAGCAGGGTGCAGGCGCTGGAGGCCAGGCTGGGCCCAGAGAAAGGGGACCCCGGGCAGGGAGGGGGCAGCTGACCGGGCATGG